GAGCTACTTTACAAATGTTAAGCACAATAATCATGGATTAACCTCACAGTACACCAGAATCATTGTTCATTTTTGTCCTCATCTTTATTGCAGTCACTGCTATAACCACTCCAACCACCAGCAGCCCAGCCACTCCTGCCCCCACGGCATACAGAGTAACGTTGGAGGCTGCTGACGGGTCAGCTGTAGGGCTAGTTTCAAAGTTTGTGCTTACTGGTCCAAGGCTACTCCTGGTTAAGCTCAAAATGGTCTCCTGTTTAAAGATGCACCTAAATGGGTCATCCATGAATGTGCCCACATACAAATCATCTTCATCAGTACCTTCCTCAATAAAACTATCTGTGAAATCATCCTCTAGGAACTCAAGGTCTCCTAAGACAACACACCAGTACACCCCTTGATCTTCCATGTTTACGTGGGAGATAGCCAGTGAGGAACCTTTTTCAGACAGAGTCAGTCTGCCAATCAGATCCTCTGGGATGGGAACAGTCGCTTGTTTTGAGTCACAGATAAGCTCATGTTCACCTGTAGCCTTCCGGCGGTGCCACTGCACCCTTTGGGAATCATTTTCTTCGCCAACATCACAATCTAGCGAGACGTCCCTGCCTTCAAAAACAGCTTTGTCTTGGGATTCCTTTCTGGGGCAAAGAACCAGCAAGTACTGCATTTCAAGCGAAGGGGAGATGCAGGAATACTCGCCAATATGTTCATCAGTGACTGCTAGAATTACCAATGAGAAGTCCTGTGATTTGTCGCCATATGATATGTACATGTGATTGTTCATCAAGTCACTAGCATTGATTCTTCCCAGTGGTGTCTCCCATTGTTGGTTGTTACCATCAGATGGGCAAGGTAGTACCACTCTCTCACCTAGTGAGGCAAAAATGTCCCAACTCTCACTGCGATCTGGTTGGTACATGCTTTGGAAACTGAGACAATTCTTACCTTTGATCACAAGACAGTGAAAGTGGTGGTTATTCTTTAACATGTTGCTGTTAAACACAATTAACGCCCCGCTTTCTCTGACCTCTATGACACCCTCCTCCAGCACAGGGTCCAGTGACACATTGCTATCCAGGAAGAGTTTGAGCTTATAGGACGGATGTTTTTCATGGTACCAGCGCACAGAGGTTCCCTCTAGACCAATGGAAGTGTTGTTGCACAGAAGCTCGACCTCTGCATCTTCTTCATTCACAATCATTTCTTCAGGTTCAACCTCCTCATTGCATACAATGAGCTGCTGTGTTTTTTGGCTGACTAGTGTCTGGTTCTTCCAGCATTCCCTCCTATAAATCCCTGAGTCCATGTGTGTGAGCTGACTGATTAGCAGCCCGGACAAGTGTTGATTTTTGCTCATGTGGATGCGGCCCCGAAAGGGTGCAGAAGGTGTAAAGGCTGTGGTGTTGGATGAGGAGTTCCCAATCAGCTGGTCTCCCTCCGGATAACATCGATAAACAGCAATATAATCCACTCCGAAACAATACCCCATCTCGATAACGCTGCCCTCTACTCTGAACACAGGCTGTGGCTCCTCACTGTAGACCTGGTGAACGAGGAGGATAAGCAGAAACTCCAGAAGCCTGATGGAGGTCATGTTGTCCTTCTGTTTGTCACTCTCTGGTGTGTTCTTACAGCAAGCCTGTTTCAATGAATTCACTTTTGGTTTGTCCCTTTCGTTACGCCTCCATCAGTTTCCTCCTCTTCCACATTTTTGTGCAGCCTGCACAAACACACTCTCAGAGTGACAGGCACAGGAACACATTCTTACACAAAATTATCCAGACAATGAGTGACAGGAGTGGGTGGAGAGACATTAAAGTCGTTTATGTAATTGTCATAAGTCTGAGACAACCAATAAGGCTAAACAAAAGCCAAGAGGCAGAACATAAAAACTGAAAGTTATGTTCTAGGTTGCACATTAACTGTGCAGCTGGACAAGTTTCCACTCAGCTGTGGGCGTGGCGATACACCATGCAAGGTTGGGTGACAGCAGTTAGGAGTGTTTATGTGAATGCATGGGGTTTTCTTTGCATGGAAATTCTGTGAAAGCAGGCATCATTGTGTATTTGCAAATGCACGCAACAATGCTCTTATTCATTGGTGCAAACTAATCTGAACCAAATCTAGAAGTATCAGGTGGTCTGTCTCTGTTGCCTAGCAGTTGTAATGTAAGGAACACTGTGTCTTCTGGTTTCACATTGTGCAAGAGTAATATCATACACAGCATAAAGTCCATAAAATCTAGATGTATCCTGTTGTTTCACAATACAAGTCAAACAATATTTAGGTATAGAAACAATATTTAGGTATAGATACATTTGTGCCCATCACTGAATTTACTATAGTGGCCTCGTGATGTCACATCATAACAAATGTGTTTCATATTGTTCATGTTATGCAAAGCTTTTATATCTTATATCGTCATTTTTAATTAGTTATGGGTTACACTGTACATAATCTGTTAATAATAAACTGCTCTGTTTGATGTTAAGGCTTGGTCGACCTCCTGCCCTGTAAGTCTACATGCCACCACAAATGACAAGTTGACTTTGTGCTGCCATAACAGGACACAGCTATTATAGTACTAGTCATATTACTCGACTCCTTCACTTTATGAAGCCTGATGTAACAGCTCTTTCCGGCTAATAAATAGCGCAAGTTAAGTCTACTACTCAAAAATCAATACTTCTCTCACCGGTATTGCATTCAAGGTCAAATGCCTGCTTCTAAATTGTAATATGAAACAATGGGAGGTTTGTGTACAGTGTACTCATGCTCTTGATAAAGCAAGACCTTTATCTCTCTCTTTTGGTTTCTGTGGTTGCAAATGCCTAGAGCTTACTGGATTTTGGTTACAGAGGACAAGTGCACTACCTGGGAATACCCTGTACTTTACTTCCCTGTGTATGGTGGCTTTGGTATTATTTGGAAAATGATTTACCAACCCTTTCCGAAGAGACGTCTGACCATGTTTAAAAAGGTCAGTGAAATTGATAGATTGTGGGAAAACACCCAGAGTTCCACACTTGAAAAAGAGATTGTGAAGTTCAACTCTGCCTCCCTTCTCTGTCTATTTGGCTGACTAGACTGACGCAGCAGCCATGATAAGGCTGAACTCTGGTCCATCTCTTCTGTTACCCAAGGCTGAATGACACAAAGTGTGACTTAGGCAAACTTCTGTAAGCATAGTGTTTTGTTTTGTACCAATACACACATGTATAGAGAGGTGAAGAATAACTTTACACGTATTGAATCTCATCAGAATAAAGAAGGATAAATAGCCCATCCTCAGTTGGGAAGTACTTTCCGGATTTGGTTTTGACACTACACTGTGTCAGTACTCACTTTGTACTGCAGCTGTCATTCTACTTGGTTGAGTTTCAATAAATACTTCTGCTAAAGATAACCTGAGTTTCCTGAAACCTTCTTTATCATTAGACCAGCTCGCAAGAATTTCCTTCACAGAGATGGTGAGACGATGAAGTCGCCACCATCCCTGTATCCTAAAGTAAGTGAACAAGAGAAATCAATTTTAGAAAGCTCTGGACACAATCACCTTTGTAATTAGGCATAGTTATATTTATCACACTTTACCCCACAAAGCAGCACCCAGCGTGCGAGCATCTGCAAGAGGTCTGACCACCTGTACTACATTTTGGTTATGTTGTACAGTGGCTTTTCCTTTTCTCTTTCAGTTTGTTTGCTTTTACGTGTTTGTGACAACATGTTGTCTGAAGCGTTGCGTTTTGTCTCTTGTAGATGCTGTTCTCTGTGTTTTGGTGACTGTGCTGTAACCTGGTTGTAGCTGCCGCTTAAATTTTTGTGCAACCCCCACAGTGTTGAAAAGCAAGTTATCAGAGGCGCTTGGCACAAACCAACTCACAGACTCTCTGTCTTCAGTATGGAGATGATCATACTGGATCAAAATCACATCATGGAGCCTGGATTGGATATTTTTACACCTTTTATTTCTGTCTGTCTGCCCATTTAGTTCTGCCAGTGACAGACGTTTTTTTAGTGATCTTCCTTACCCTTGTTTTAGTTCTTCATTCCTGCAGAAACCACAGGAGCAATGCAGCAAGGGAGGGTGGATACTGATGCCCTGACTTTGAGAAATCTGTTGATAAAAGCCAGAGAAACGGCTGACAATAAAACAAGAGGAAATTACACTGTTTACTTTGCAGGCCCACATCTTGTTCCACACATGCCCCGCTTCCACTATAAAAAAAGTTGTTTCCTATGAAACACATGCAAAGTCAAATCAATGTTTCTTTCATGTGTTTGTGCTTTGACACAGATCATGTGGTGTCCTGTCTGAGACAGAAACTGTACACTCTGATGAAAAGCTCACTCCTGTCATATTGGGTATTAAACAAGAAAGAAGTGCCAACCTGTTTTCCTTAGAGGCATATCATCTGTTTACTAGTACATAAACTATAATGAACCCAGCGACCCACTCAGCAGCAGCAGCTTCCGCGCTGCTGAGGGAACAGCTTGCAGAGCTGGTGATCAAGCATCATGATTAAGCACCAACTGCGAAAAAACTCTCCGTGTGTTCAGTCCAATTCAGCCCAGCGCTGATTACACTCATCAAGGCCCCGTATGCTGCAGGGTTTGGAGGCGCACCAACTGCTGTTTGAGATACAGATTTTTGCCAAAAATATTTAATTACTGGACATATGGGCTGCAATAAAAGAGCAGAGATAGAAATTGGGGAATGGGAGCAGAAAATCAAATGACTCTCACATTTCTGTATCGACTTTTCCACATTATGCGTGAAAAAATGTTTCTTTCTCAAAGAATCAAGGCTATTTCAGCGTCGCATTTGAATCTGTGTCAGTTGTGCTTTGCAACATTGCCACCGCCTCTGCGTGACGCTGTGGGACACACGACAACACGGGCCGACAGTAGAAGAAGAAATCAGTTTCACAACAAAACGTAACATCCGCTGACCGAAGCAGAAGGTAATTCATTTTCTCACAAAAACGTCTTTATCCTAAGCTAAACTCTCCACATGTCTGCACACCTCGTAATAATGTTCAATCACGCAGTCAAATGACACGATGCCCCGCGGTGCTAGTCGTGGAGCGGTACTGATAACGTCTCTTCTAGCTGTTAGCTAAATACCCAGCATGTTTGTTCAAGTAAAATACTGCAGTCTATTTAAAAAGACTTTTATTTTGAAAGAGTTGTCTAAATGTATTTACGTGACAAAGGCACTTTATTATGCTTTTGAATGTGTCATCTGATTGTGATTGGCAATGGGCCGTTGACTGTGACTGATGTGTCGGTTAGCTCATGCTCTTCCACCCCTATGAAACATCTGGCACCAGCTGCGCACAATAACCTTTATCTTCACTCAAGGAATCTATCTTATGACCCAACATGTCATAAGTAAACATCAGGGCACTCCCTGTGTGAAAGCAGTTTAATCACTTTACGCAAACAGTATATCAGTTTAAAAATAATAATAAGTAGGCTTGGAGTCCTAATGTTTTCTGTTGGAACATGTTTAATGAAGAGACGTTACAGTCAGTGTCCTGTCAGTACTTTAAAAAAAGTTGAACTTCATGTAAGCCTAAGTAAGGTAGCACAGCTGTGTTTGTTTGTTAAAATGTACTTCTCTTGTCTGTTTGTCTCAGTGGCAAGTCACCATGGAGCTCCAGAAATATCCCCCTGCCTGTGCGTAATGTCAGGAGGATATTGTTGTTCTGCATGATATTTATGTAAATAATGGAACAAACAATATGATGAGAGTCACGACTGTCCGTCACGACTGTTTGTCACCTGTCTCGACAGAAGCACATGACCACAGCAGCTCAAATAGTTCAGAATTGGTGGTGTTACTGTGCATAGATGCAACTCTCATTGCCTAGCTCCCTATACTACTTCAGAAGGTGAAGCTTGTATTTTTAGTAAGTAGTTAAGTTGGCTGCCTGCTTGGTTGTCACCCACTGCAGTTCCTTTTCTCTCACTCCCTAAGGTGTTCAGCTTCAGGACTTCGCATGAATGTGGCGCTTGATCGCAACATCCCTGTGCCAACGATGCCAACGTGTCAAAGCTCTGCCTTTAAACCTAAGGCCATGTGCAACACTGAGCTCAGCAGAGAACCAGCAGACCGTGGAGGCTCTCTATGATCTCTCTGTGGACATCCAGAAGGTCCGGAAACTTAAGGGCTGGGTCCTGCATCAGAGTCCAGCCTATGCTAAGGAGGTAGGTAACCTGCTGCAGGACATGGGAGCTTCAGGCTCCATCGTTGCCCGGATCCTAGCAGCCCACCCTGAGGCAGTCCTCTGTCACCCAGAGCAGATGCAGGCTCAGAGGGAGCTGTGGATGTCCGTGTGCCCGAACCAGAAAGAGCTGGTTGGTATAATTGAGAAATTTCCAGCCTCCTTCTTCACCTCCTCCAGCCACAATGACAACCAGCGGAACAACATCGCTTACTTCCAGAGATTAAACATCAACAAGCGAATCATCACCAAGCTCATGGCTAGCGCTCCCCAGAGCTTCAGCCGGCCAGTAGAGCAGAACGAGGTGATGGTGCGCACCCTCCAGCAGGCCTATCAGGAGCTTGGGGGGGGGGAGGCTAACATGAAGATCTGGTTTCAGAAGCTGCTGAGCCAGAACCCGTTTGTTCTCCTCAAGGCCCCCGAGGTGCTGAGGGAGAACCTGCTGTTCTTGAGAGACAAGGGCTTCAGCGCGGCAGAACTACTCCGCCTCCTATCCAAACTCAGGGGCTTTGTCACAGAGCTGAACCCGGACACCATGCGCTGCACCATGGCATACTCCCAGGACACCATGTGCTGCTCCGAGACAGAGCTGCGGGACATCATCCTCAACTGCCCGGCCCTGCTTTACTACCCTGAAGCTATACTGGCTGAGCGCTTTGAGGGCCTCCTTGGCGCTGGTATTAGCATGTCTCAAATCAGAGAGACTCCGACTGTTTTGGAGCTGACCCCGCAGATAGTTAATCATCGCATCCAGCTACTGCGGGCGCATCGTTATGACATAAAGACTGGTAGTCTGGAAGTCCTAAATGGCACTAAGAAGGACTTTGAGATGAGCTACGGAAAACTTCAGCTACGTAGAGAGAGACCACTTTTTAACCCTGTTGCTCCTTTAAAAACAGATGACTGACAGAGGCCGTATGGACTAATGCAAGTGAATTAAAGCTGGAACTGGATGTATACGGCGGGTCTTGTATTTATTTATATCTATATTCTGTCTATATAATATATCTATATTGTGTCAGATTGGAGTGTCTTAAGTATAACGGTGCACTCACTTCAAGCATTTAATTTATAATCAGACAAATGTTTTGCACTAGTTCATGATGCCATTTGAACTTGATAGAGAATCTTGACAGTGAGAGTGCAAACTGAACCGAACAAAGAAAGAGAATCTCAAAATGCTTTTAGTTGCTTTTTAATGGGTGGAAAGACAGTTTTTGACAGAAACTGGTACGAGGGATCACACTTAAGCAACGTTACAGTGAAGAGAATTTGTTTTGATTCTCTTTCTGGTGCCAAAATCTCCAACCTTGTGGAATGAAAAGTAGTCAAAATCCAATTATTACTTTTTGTGTCCAAGCCCTGGTTTTCCCCTAATTGGGTAGGGTGAATCTCAAGACCAAGTACAAAAATGTTTCAAAATACATCTTCCTGTTGAGGTTCAAAACAAAGTAAACTGAGTTCACACCCTAACGTGTTGGTCACACGTGAAAAGCAGCACACTTTTATTGTATTTAATGTTAACTGATGTTTAATGTTAACTGATACACTGTAAGAGACGAAGATGGTTATGTAACGACTTCTCAGAGTGTTATCAGGAATTGAGATAAATGTAATGGTATCTTAATGTGACACACTTTTTAGGGAAGATGTAGTCCCCTGCCAAATAAAGAATTTATTACAGCTTATGCACAAATTACCTCATCACAGTAACTTCACAGAAAACGCTGCGTGTGATGACAGATGTGCTGACTCGTCTATCAAATGCATTACTGAGAATAACCGAGGACAAACAAGGCTTTTCAAACCATTTTATTTACAGCCTGTGCAAGTGTCTCATTTTCACACAATGTTCTTGGCAAGCACGACTGTTCCCCTCAGGGAGGAAATCTAGCTGTGTCTCAGATTTTTATTGTTACTTTACAGACACACTTTATGTAGGCACTTTATTATAAGCCATTTCACTACCGAAATGTCATTATCATTTCAAATGAATTCAAATGCACCCACACAATTTGATAAAAAAAGGCAGGAAGTGATTGGAAGTGGTTTATTTAAAGCACTCTGCAATCTTTATTCAAAAAGCAGCTGTTTCAGTTCATTTATGCAAAATAGATTTTCCATTACGATTGGTTTTATTAATAAGGTTTTAATGTGGTCATATGTAGGTAAAAAGACTTCTTTTGTGTTAATGCCTACATTTATTGTAGTGTTAGCCACAAAATCAATATATAATCCTACTGAGCATTGTCTAAACCAAGAGAGAGCATTGTAAAATGTTCCCCGGCTCGTTCTGAATGTGTCTTAATGTTTCAAAGCCAGGAAAAGCCCTTGAAACATGCTTTTTTTTTGCCTTTTAATGGGACTGAGCTTCCCGGCTAATGAAGCCATGACTTTATGCCTCAAGGTTCCCTCGCTCTCGTAATGTGGACGATGGGGGTCACAACAAAGAGAGAGAGACGGGACTGTGTCCAGAGGGAGGGGGTGGAGGGGAGTGGGGGCTATACACGTTAACAACTTCCTCTTCCCATTTGCTGCCGTCTGCATCACTCAGTATGGCTCTGTAGTCATGGCAATAGCCACTGGGCAGATGATGCAAAAGTGAGTGCATCTGGTGATGAATTTGAGCTCAGCAGATGGATGCTTGAGTAGAGTTCATTTTCAAGCCGTTCACAACATGGTGCTCCTGCGGGGCTACAACAGTACCTCAGATACACTGCAGCTATCGTACTGAAGGTTACTAATTACTGACCTTCCTTTTTATTCATCATTTTGCAAGGTTATGGTCTTTCAACAGCGCTTAGTTGTAAATACAAGGAGTTAATCAGGATGAATCAAGGCGAGGCAGATGAGACAAGACCCCAGGTGTATAAATGCAAGTCACCTCTATCTCTTACCCGCTGTCCTCTTGTCCTCTTTCGAGTGCCGTGTTGTCCTGCACCGTGGTCTTCAATTACACAGACAAGCGAGAGAGGTTAAAAGAGGGGATATAAATTGTCCTTTTTCATTTCAAACATGACACTGGTTGATATTAGCCACACTTAACATTTTGCTTTTATGGGTCATATCTCACCAGAAACAGACGACATCTGCAATTAAAAGCTGTGATTTCCAGCATGGACGAGCACTGCTGCAGTAAATAGTCCTTATTTGAAGTCAGTGTGAGTTAAACTCAAGTCCTGGAATTATTATTTAGAAGAATGTTCATAAAAATCACCTTCTTTTGCAACTTAAATGGTCCATTATGGCTGAAAAGAAAAATACTATCATGTGTTCCCCGCAAAGGAAAATCTAAAATTACAAAACTTCATTCCTACCTACTTCAGCCTCAAAAGCACCCTGTAACCAGATATTGCTCTGGTGTTTCTTCCCTTATATTAGCATTTGCAGTCAGCTGAACTTTCCTCTACCAAACTACAACAGAAAGTTTGATTTCTGTCATTACTCGTCTGTCGTGAACAGACTCCTACCCGCACCCCCATGAGATAGCACAAATATGCTGTACATGCTGCCCGAGGAAAATAAATGTCACAATGATGGACGTTCAATGCACAAAAGGTAAATAACTTACTATATTGAACCTTGCACCAGAGATTCACAACTTTGAAACACCTGTCACTACAGGTAATTCTGCTTGTGGTGGGGTGCAGTCTACAAGCCATGACATTCCATCTTTTGAATCATTCATGACTGATTATATCATGCCATTGGCCGTTTAAAGCTTTGGTTGTCAGTGCTTGTCCTTGATGCTCAGAAAACGGCCCCCTTTTTGAAGTCTAGCGTACCAGGAATTGACAGGGTGTTTTCACAGAAGACGTCTTAATGTCACAGTAGGAAAAGCACAAGTGTCACCAATAAAATAAATGATTATGTTGGCTCCTTCAGTTTCTTTAATTTAATGTAAGTGCCACCTGTGCTTTTCCTGCTCTGACAAGTAAAACCATTTCCTGAGAAAAAAGGCCTCCTTCTTTCCTCACAACTAGGGTTGCAACAACTAATCGACGTATTTGCCAACGAATTTAATAATCGATTCGTTCATGACGTCATCGGGCCGTGGCGTAGCGACACCGTCAGCTTAACGGAGGAAAGTGATGTGAACAGTAAAGTTAGTACAACATCAGAGCTGCAGTAACACCTTCACAAACTAAAACCTCCAGAGTGTGGCAGCATTGCACTGTTCACACAGCCAGAAAGGTCGTGAACTGCAGCAAAGCTGAGCTCTCCCGGAAACACCGGAGCATCTGAAGAGGAGGCACGTAACGTTGTGTCTCTCTGGATGATGACGACTCGTCTCGTTAAGCTGCTTAGCGAGCTAGCTTCACGTTAAAGCCGTGTTACTTCACGTTATGAGCTGAAACGTTTTCTATACAGTTGGTCCATTTGATTGATTGTTACAGTAATGGAGCTGCGAGTAGCACATAATTACGATACACAAAGGCCGGCTCCACATTCAGTCAGATGTGCCCTGACTTTATAATCATAAACGATGCATCGCTCATGGCGACGTTCCCAGCTGGAGAACGTGTTGCTGCTGAGTGCACAAGATTAAACACCGGATAATTTGATACTTTATAAAGAAGAGAAAACAGTTCTCCTGTCTGTGCGTGAGGCGGTGGCTTATCTGCCCCAATCTCCCTTAAAAAATCAGGGAGTTTTGTGAGTTGTTGAGTTAGGGGAAAATATATAAATGTTGTGAAACGTCACTTAACTGCCGATCAGCTGCTTGTCAGGACGTGATTTCAGTGGAACTTTCTGTTGCTGCAGCAGAAACGTTCATTAAAAGATGCATTTTTGAAAGCAGTATTTATTTTATTGTCTTGACTGTTAATTAGCACGTGCCTAAAACAACCTCAGGTTTAATTTAAAGGCTAATAGCTAAATGAGAGGCATTGTGTCATTTTGCGATTCATAACCCGAATAGTCGATTATTCGTTTCAATAATCGATAGATTAATCGACTATCAAAATAGTCGTTAGTTGCAGCCCTAGTCACAACCATTTACAGGTCTGTGCATTTGTCATTGTATTGGACTTTTTACATTACAATGCTTCTTATATGTTTATGTTTGGGTGTATTGTTAGTGGATGTGTTTCTGTCTAGAGTGAGTTTAAACAACACATCCATCTTAATTGAAAATCCTGCAGAAGCAGCACTACAGCTCCACTGACCCCTGCTCAGAAAACTCAAGTTTCACTTGAAACATTGATGTGAATGTGTGTCTTCTGGGAGTTTCCCCTCTATCTATCCATAAACAGTCTATGTCTAATAGACTATTAAAATTAATCGTTAACTCTTGTGATTAAATGAATTGTCATAGGCTAATGTTATTTGTTTAACAGTTTTGTTTTATTGATCTGATCTTTAGTCAAATCAGTTTATGTGTAGAACACATCTAAAAAAAACACACGTTGACCACATGTCTGGTTTTTTCCCCCTTGTTTCACTTTTGCTGTTTACTGTCACTGTTTTACATCATTTTGATTTATTCTGTAGTAAAGGCACTTTGAACATTATTATTACATTACTATTACAAGACCATGAAACCATCATCCATCCATCGTCAACCGCTTATTCTGCGTACAGGGTCGTGGGGGGCTGGAGCCAATCCCAGCTGACACTGGGCGAAAAGCGTGGTACACCCTGGACAGGTTGCCAGCCCATTGCAGATGAAACCATCATAAGCCTCCATATATGTGAGACTGTTAACTCCCTGTGTGTGTGTGATCCAAATTAAACTATGAAACTAAACTAAATGAAGTATATTAAAATGCCTTTGATAGAAGCCGGTGGTGAAATCTGGGATAGGTTGATAATCAGCAGCATAAAGGTTAGCTTTCTGTCCCTTTTCTCGTTGATATGCCTCCATCTAGTGGCAAAAATGGTACAACCAGATGAATAAGGATCATTTTGTTCAAAGTGAAAAATCAAGTCACAAAATGTCTATTGTTTATCTATTTTCGGAAAAAAAAAAACTATATTCACAACAAAAAAACACAACACAGGCTCAATAAATAGGTGGCTTTCCATTTCTAACTTTTTACAGATGTAAAATTTCACCATATGTAAATAAGACGTCATTAAAACAAACCAGTAGGATAATTCACCCGTCACTGTATAAATTGACATCTGTCATGATTGCTTAGAAAAGACTGGATCTGCTGTGTTACCTGGAACACAGGCAGTCAGTGACGCAGTCCGCTGACTCACTCACTGACAAGCATATTTTCTGAGCAGCTGCGATATTACTGAGGATGAGGACGAGATGGGAACGCTAACAAGTAGGTAGGGTTGGCTGGGAGGATTTCTTTTATGCCAAAAAAATATCTTACCAAACAGTAGTGGTGGGTAATGGGTAATAATTCTAAGAGTAAATTGCACATAAAAACACGTGTAGACAAACTGGACCGCTGATAAAGTGCTCAGTGTTTCAAGTTCAAATCCTATTTACATTAGCTGGAATGCTCAATAACAGTGTTAGCAAGACTTTGGCTTTCCTTGAGTTTCTAAAGATACGCCTATGGCCTTAGGGGCGTAACTCTACAGTTACAGTCTAAATGTTGAAAGCTGACAAGGAAGTTTTCAAAGGAGGACAGAAAAACACACCACCATCCTCTGGCGGTCTACACCACATCGCCAGTCTCTCTTTTGAATACTTGGAATTTGTACTTGATGCCGTTCTCCTCCTGAATTCCGCTCGGCACACCAGGAAATCTTGTTTGGAAAGAAAGAGGAAAAAAGGTTTTGTGAGTTCATCAAAAGGACAGTCAAATATAAGAATTAAATGGATGAACCATTTAATAAAAACACTAGCTAGAGGGTAGAGCATAGTCATCTTCAGAACCATGACTTGGCACATTAATGAGCTTTTATTGTGGAAGAAAACATACAGACATTAAACGAGTAAAATACTCAGTCTTTTTCAATAATAGTAATTTATTGATAGAAAAACAGAGATACCAAAAACAAGATGGAATCTACCTTTTGTGAATTTACTATTCAAATTCAGTGCAACTGAGCTAACATTGCTCTTTCGAATAATCTCACAGCAACCAGCAATAGTGATGTCAGCAAATCCTTTTGAGCTGAACTATTTAAACCAATGATAACACAGTCTAACAGATAGTGCTGATGTCTGCTTTATAACAAAGGGCAAAAATCACTTTCTCATGGGGCGGCAGCAAAGCTTGACCTGATTATAAAACATTACATGTAAAAATCACTCTTTTGTAACCGTTCAATGCAGTTAACATCTGCAGGTTCCAGGCCAGGACGACCTGCTCTATAATGGTCTGAGGATAAGATAAACACGTACCTTTCTTGTACTTTAAATATTCCTCTGTCAAACTCAGGGAAGAAAACGTCGCAGTCAAAGTCTGCCATGATGTCTGTCAGATAAACCAGGTCACACCACAGGTGCTTCAATGCATCCTGATCAGAAACAAGAACCAATGGAGATTCTTGTCATGTTAACAGCATTACAGTTTTTCTCAATTGCTTACATGTGTTTTCTGAAAGCATGGCTCATTTTCTAAAAACTTTATAAATACAAATACAAAAACTCACACTAAAACATCTCTTGCGATTCAAAACAATGTTAAAATAAATTTTGTGTTCAAACATTTACACACAAACCATCAAATGAAAAGACTGATGTGCTCACTGGAAAACACTGATGAGCAGAAATCAATGCTATGTTAATCTTATCTTTTTCAGTGTATTGTACAGTGTCCTGTTGAAAACTACTCAAAATACACAATTACAAGAAAAGAGTGTTTTTTATTCTGAAATACTGTGTATACGTCTCGGCAAACACAGTTGGATTTGTTAAGCATTCTTCATACAGAACAAACAATAGAAAAAATATAAGCCTTCTGCAGTGTTCTCCCTGGCCAAGCAGTAGGAGAAGTAATTCCTGGCATGGCCAATCCAGCCCTGAAAAGCTGCTTCAGCTATATCATCACATGCATCTTCTATAGTTTGCAGAAGAGGTATACAGGATCAGGGTCGTGGTCATAGACCTTCTATCTCCTGGCAGTAAATATTGTAAATACTTTTGGAAAGTCTGGTCGACGGATTTTACTGTGAACCGGTACTCTGACCAGCCTCCCTTAACTGTCAGACCATGGGGGCCCAAATCTCAGAGATCATGGCTCTCCTTGGTCTTGGTCTCGCTCTTCCTCATCCTCCTTTTACTCTCAATCCACTCGGTCCTTGCTCTTTGTTGGCATCTACTGCTCCAAAACAGAAGAGCTCCCTGGTGGCCCTGAATTGCTAAATCTCTGATTGCCTGTTGAACAAATGTGCAATATGTGTTTGCCCATGTGTGGAGTCAGGGTGGATAGCGTAACATGCAAATTCAGCATTTTGAATGGCCATGTGAACACAAGAGATTTTATTCATGAAGACTGTGCCAAAAAAGTGGTTTAGAACTGCAGTCTGAGTGTAAAGCAGGGAATGTGCCTGTATTTTAGCAGAATTGGTTCAGGGGATTAGTACATTAATTATAGTCATTGTGTCTCAAGCACCAGTGTTGAGAAAAACTGTAACAGCCTGGCACAGGCGTTTCCACATGTGTTTCAGCACTATATTAACACAGAAGAATATTTACAGTTTCCTGTTTATCAACCTGGCTGGTGCAGGTTGAAAAGGTTAAATCCACACTGCTGGTTGGTGCTCTGTCATAAGCTTGTCTGCTGTTGAGATAGGTGTATATCTGTGCAGACCACAATGTCTCACAAAGGCTGTGCACACCAATATAAAAAAGTGTTTAATTATTCAGTCTGACTAGGCCTGCAGGAAGTTGGGTGGAGCTGGGAATCATAGGAGGCCACCAACTCTGTGTACTAATACAAACAATAAACATGTAGGTTATCTTTAAGGTACTAGAATGATGAAAGGAGAGTTAGGGCAATGTAAATGGGTGGGGGGGCTTCAGGTTTCAATGAGCTGCTTTGACTAGTTTACCTTGTAGACCTGCGTCCCCCCAACAATCCAGATGGTCTCAATCAGGTCAGAAAGGGGTGGCTGGGCAGCCAGCCGGATGGCACTCTCAAAGTCTTGACACAGGAAGTGGGCGTGATCTGGAACAGTTCTGTAAGAGGAGAAACCTTTCAAAAACATGTGTTGCTGTAGTCTTACCTAAAGAGAGGTTTTGTGTATATACCAAATACATATGTTAATTGAAATAAGATCAATTGGAGTAATTCAAAGGAAGTATATAGCATGTTGCCTGTGTCCCATAAACGTAACCAAAAATTCCACTAAAATGACATGGAAATTATTTTTTTTCCCTTTGATTTGGGGTTGCTGGAAAAACATTTAATAAATAATTCAAAAGCAATTTCCAGAGCAAAAGTCATTTGAGCCTTGAAATGACTTCAAGTCTGATACTTGACGTGCTATAAAACACATTGCACATTAGATTAATAGGTCAAATATGATACTGTATGCTAGCTAATTTTTTTCCTCAATAAGTAACCATAGTAATTTTTGTTAATTAAATCAATATAATTTCTTAAACCCAATTCAATCAACCTAATTTCATAGGTGGAGTGGGAAATTATTTTCTTTCTTGCACATGTATGTAGGGTATCCTTTGACAGAGAGAGAGAGAGAGAGAGAGAGAGAGAGAGAGAGCGCACTCACTTCAGTGTCGTACTCAGCACCACATGCAGAATATTGGCCAGTGGGAACATATTTTCTGGGTGGGAGTACCAGCACAGTTTTCCCCAGACCATCATGTTCATCTTTCCTGAAATAGACACAATCAACTATTTGGCAGAACACACCACATCTCAGCTGCTGAGATGTCTACTGCTCTCACATCTCTTATGGCAAAAAGCACAGGACTGAGTTTCAAAAACCATAAAGGTTTGGAGTTCCAAATAAATTTGTGCCCATAACAACGCGGGAAAACTGTCAAGTAGGGGTGGGTGATATGGATAAAGAATCTTCTATCATTGTATATATCATGATATTGATATATATTGAGATATAATACACTGGGAATGTCCCTTTATAGTTAATCCATGGAATTAAAGGGGTAGTAATGGATTGTAATCCAATTCACTTTTTGTTAAATTCAGCAAATATTTCCTCACAGTTCGTTAGATCTCTGTTTGTGTGCTCTCACAAAAAAAATCCAGTTTTCCTACCTCCTGGCTCTGTAGATTGTCTATGTATTTGTAGAGAGAGCAAGTTGTAAACACAGGTACATTCAAACATGCTGGACTCACTGCTGGACATAGGTGTCATTTACACTGGGGACGCTGGGGACATGTCCCCACCACTTTTTGAAATTGTTGATTTTGTCCCTATCACTTTTTGAAAGCATTTGTTTAAAATGTTCTGAAAATACCTTGCACCAAAAAATGTTAACCAACAAATGAAATGCTTTGAGAAAGGTTTATTTGCACAATCAGAAAACATGCAATGCAATTTAACTATAGAAGAAACAAATGCGCGTTGTCCAAAAAAAAGTAACTTCAGCTGAAAAAATTATATTATATAAATTATATAGTTATATTTATGAACTGTCACCTGCCAGCTGAATTTTTTGTTTCCCTTTATATAAATAAAGACATTTCCACCATAACTTGGAGCAGAAAATGTCTCCAGAATGCAGTAATTTAAGAGTATAATGCTCCAATTTTCTGGAAGAGGACCCCCAGACCCCTGCTCATATATTTCAGCATTTCCTATTTCTTCAAAATAGTGTTAAAAATATTCTAGTTTTGTTCTCGTGCATCGTCACGTCTCGAGATCCAAGTATATCGTCACACCCCTAATCTGAGCCCTTATGTCCCTACCACTTCTCAACACAAAGTGACACCCTTGCTGCTGTCCAAAAGGAGAGATGGCTGAACAGCCAAAAAGGAAAAGGCCTGAAGAGTACAAATTGTGAAACAAGTTATATGACAAGGCAAGGGCTGTGTGTTTGTCCGCTCTAATGTTATATGATAGTATTTGTAAAACGTTTGCTAAGGGATTTATGGCCAGGAAGACCTAAAAAGGGGTGTATTTGTTTGGCAGTTGAGTTCAAACATCAACAATCCCACTGCAGGATTGCTTACTATCCCTTTAAATACCTGAAACATGAAAAGTACAAACTGTGTAAACTGTATAGGAAAATCTGAGACTGTTGATACATTTCTATGGTCACACAGTAAATATCATTGTATCACCCAACTCTACCGTCAAGGTAACCAGGATTGCCTATGTCAGATTCCTTTATTCTATTCTATCAAACAATTTCCTGATTTAATAAGATTATGCACAGCTGTTGTAAATATTTTGCAAGGTATAGCTACATCATTTTGGTATCAAAATACAGATGTGGGTTTGGCTCAAGCATTTAAAGGTTTTGAATGATACCCAGCCCTACATGAGGTGGTTATAATACTTTATGATGCATTATATTGATATTGAGGAATACCTGGTCTCGACACCTTCGTGACAGTGTTCAGAAAGTACTGGAATTCAGATCTGCAAGAGTCACATTTTCAGTATTTAATGAACAGAAAAAACAGAAACAGACAGAAAACAGCCAGCTGTTACTGAGCACTTTCATTTATAAGAAGGCCTACTGCTGCTGAGAGAAGTTTCTGAATGGAGCAAAGTTATATAACACATCAAATCACTCCTCTTTATATTTTACTGTAGGCCTACGATACTACAAGCTACTGTCTAACGTTACTGCTCTTTGCTCTACTGTACTGTACCACTGCATACTCTCCCACTACAGTATTGTGCTGCTGCTTGCACTCTTGCAACTTAATATCTGGTCACTTCAGCATTTAGGTACTGCTAGTACCTGTTACATTTGCAACCTGCCACAACTTTTGATTAATCAATTACATAACCAACACCTAAGACAAGTTAGATTACTTTAATTTGGCATTTGTCAGTTAGACATTCCTCTTGCCACAGCTATTTCCCTCTGCGTCATGGTATCCTTATTGTAGGCTGTAGCCAAGTCATTTGTTTAGTCTGCTTTAGGATTTTTGTCCAATAAAAATATGCATTTATCACACATAGGCCTACCCTGACAGAATCAAGACCTCTTCACAAATGGTGTCACTCTTACGGTAAATGCCAGGGCAGTTTCCCATCTTTCCCGATCCCCATGTTATTGCAAACTGCTGCAATGAGGCGAATAGGTTTCTCCTGCACTTTGTCCCGACTCGTTTCCATCTCCAACAGACGGCCAAACAAACAAGCAGACAGGAAGGACAGGATCTCGATGTGCAGCAGTCACCGTGTCTGTAGCGCATGTGGGAGCAATTTATTTAGGTTTTCAGACTCAACTATCACCGCCCACCGTCGGGGGGCTGCTATTGGACACGTTGCAGTTTAGGCGCATCCTGAACTGGTTTTAAACTTCCCACTCTTTCCCCACCCCGAGGCTACCACCGCACAGCGTGACTGTCATCGGAAATAGACACATGTAGGCTTATTATCACTTTTATTAAACACTTTACAAAGTGTGAGAAAGACATCCTTGGCAAGTCGAGCCCTATAAAAGGACAATTCCCTTAAGCAGGCACCGAAAAAGTCAGATTTGAAGTTGGTAAATCTGCCGAGCACTCAGCGCCAGGACATGTCATGCCTTTTATGATACGTCGTTTGTAAGAACCGGTCAAGCAAGGCAATAGGCCTACTGCATATTGTCATTTTTCTCACTTTGCAAAAACAAGTGCAACATGAAAGTCTTACCTGAAGAGAGGATGGGACACACCCAATTCTTATCAATGTGCGTCGGTAACAGAAAGTGTATACCAAATTGATTTGTAGGTTATTGGTATAAAACATGTTGCCTAGTGTAGGCAAGTAGTAAAAACAATCCACTAAAATAGTTTGGAAATGACTTTATTCTTTGATTTGGGGTTGCTGGAAGAATAATAAAATAAGTAATTCCTGACAAATGACCTATTACTACATACAGACTGAAAGTGAAGCATTTTTTCTGCATCAATGTAAAGGATTACCAAAGTAAAAGTCATGAACTGGCTTCAAGTCTGATACTTCACATAGTCTAACAACACAGTTCTCCATAATGTCTGGCAATGACTGATATATTTGAGTTCAGGACAACTATGGCCCCATATAAAGTAAATTAAGCATTTTTACTGTACTGTGTCAGTGCAGAGAATTTCCAAAGTAAAGGTGTAACAGTTTTACCTTGAAATGATGATGAAAAGTTTGATACTAGAGGTGCTATTAAAAACACATTGCACATTAAATTAATATGTCAAGAATGATATTGTATGCAAGCAATTAAGTTTTCAATAAGTAACCATATCAATATTAGTTAATTAATCAATATCATTTATATAGCCCCAATCAGTCAATCATCATTCAATCAACATCATTTCATAAAGACAAGGCTCTGATATCTCTGTATTTCTATAATCATTCAGTAGTGTCTTTGCTGCTGAAACTACACCCCCAGACCAAGCCACCTCTGTAACAAAATATTTTAGGGTAAACTTCACAACAGATGTAGGTTTGGTGTAACTTGGGAGGGATCAGGTCATGTACCTGCACCACGCTCAGCTAGTGTAGTCTGCAGATAGGCCCTTGTCTTTGAATCTGTGAAAGCCTGCAACAAGGGGGTTCTCCTAATAAAACATGATAAGAGACAAAGTGTTAATCAGTAAAGACTGGGTAAGCTGTGTAGGAAATGCACATTGGTAATTAAATAAATTCATGAAAAATAAGGTAGGTAATTGACACGTATGACAGATTGAGGCCTTATTTTAAAATGTTAACAAAGGAACATTTTCAGACTATACTTGTAAATGGTGCATAGTTTCAGAAAAACTGGATTAAAGGTCAACACCTGTGGAAAATTAGGTCTTTAGCAACACACTATCTCACCTTGTTCGGCTCAAAGTTCACATGTACAGTGTCGATTAGAAGTACTATCACCACCTGGACTCATGTTTTATTGTTTGAATGGATGACATTAAGCTTTTTTGACACTGATTAACACAAAAAGTCAGAGGCAGACAACCGCAGACATTTGTGTGAAGTTCACTCATTTAAGACCTGTCCTTTTAAGATATGTCCTTTTCTCCAGTTTTATTGAAGCATAATTAAGTGAGTAAATCTGAGGCAAATACAATTTTTTTTGTGCACAATCGACTGATAAATGTAAGAGCCTTATAAGAAAATCAATGTTTAAATGTATCAAATTAACTAAAAAGCACAAGACATACTTCTGTCCATCTGATTGCACAATATTCACAAAATACTTGTACTGAACGTTTGTGTAAACTGGAAAGAGGGTTTTGGTGGCATTGTAGTGCAAAGGAAAAGAAACGTCAAGAGGATACAACAAGGTTTCTGCCTTTTATTGCCATTTCAGTACAGTTTTACAGAATTTGGTCATTATTAATACAAAAATAATAATTATTTACAATTACATGGGAGATAAAAGCACATGCATTAACAGTAGAACTTTTGAGTTTCTGTAAGACATTCTTTACAAAAAGGATTTGTGAAACCCCATGACCAAAAATACAAAAGTTGTAAAACAATAAATATTTACAAATATTTAGTTCTTGTAAGGCCTGCCTTATTGCCAAACCTGCAATATACTTTACTACTGTACAGCACACCTTTGTGTCCTGAATCTTTAAAAAAAAAAAAAAAAAAAAGTTCTCACATTATATAAATTCATGACAGCGTGACTTCATATTCTTAATGTGAAATATTTAGGGGCTTGTTTTTGAGAAAAGATACAACTGTGTTTTGTATCTTACTGTATGTCAGTGTGTTATCCAGGTCATCTTGTGTTGGCGTGTTAACAGTAGGTGAGGGTGTCAGCTGTACACACCCTCCGCAGTCTCCTGATGGTGTTATAGGTTCCCATCTCTCAGACGAGAATCTGATTTCAGATTTTGACATTTTCACATTAAGGTGAAGTCAGGTAAAAATTTAAGCTTCAAGCAAAATATTAAGTTCACCATCTGTGAAAACCGTTGCTTAGATAAACATCCAGCTGACTGAATATCTGGTGGAAAGACTGTGTTTTGCCTCCTGATTACACAATTTCACCCTGATGATGTCCTGACCTGACGGATGTGGGGTGAAAAAAGGGCATTAATTATAATGCTTAGTGGTTTCATCACTTGTGCAGTGACACACTGTATTGGAAGACAACAGGTGGCCTCACACATCACCCTGATCTAAAGAATTTATAGATCAACTTTTTGCCTTTTATAAACTGCTGGCACAGGGTTCTTTCTCTTCAATATTAGTATTCTCTCTCAATGTCTTCCTCTGTTCCTGAGATGTGCGACGTGTCTCATCTCGAGAACATGACAGCTGACTGTCCTGTCCGACTCCTGACAATCTAAACTGATTACAAATTTCAGTAATGGGGAGTCCTTTAGCCAAACAGACAATAGTATCACCTGGATCCAATAGCCACATTTTGTCTCCTAGCTGCAGTTGCTACAGTGCGATAGCTGAGGCCACCTCAGGAGTGGATGCAATCCAGAAGAAACAGACTGACCGAGGGACCCTTTGTATTCTGCATTTTGTAGACTATTTGTTTTGCCTCCAGAATTTAGAGGCGCTTTGGAGCGGAGCCTCTTCACGCCGCCGCTTCTGTGATGACTGTCCTCTTTCTGCTTTAAAACATGACAAAGAATGAGTCAAGAGGTTATTTCAGATTTATGTGGAATCAATTTACATTATTGTTTTGTGAACTGTAAATAAAAAACACTCGCATGAATAAATTCAACAGTGAAGTGAATATATCTAAGGAGCTATTACCACCTTTTGCAGTGTAGCAACTTGGCTCAGGGCCTTTTGTGGTTTTTCAAAATTTCTGACTAAACAGTAGTTTACTTATGCTCTGTAATAAAGAGCAATATTCAGTTACCCGTTCTCAAAGGTCCATAACAATCCTCCAGGCCAGAGACACTAATATTTAATATCACGCTGCCAACTGACCCAAGTCTCATGGGTATTTTAACCATGAGCATGATGTCTTTGAGTAAATAAAGGATTAGTATCGTCTGCATTGTACAATTAAAATTTTGTGCATGGAAATATGTGCAAGAGCGGTATTTTAACCAATGATGATGTTAACCATCCGACCTGCGTACCTGTTTGAGACATTCCTTCGTGTATGGAGTGGTTTTCAGAGGACCCTCCTGGACTTTGACTGGTCCATGTGTTGACATCTTTGAGATTACAGTCATTTCCACCATTGTTAGGATTGGCAGGTACTGTTGCAAGCATGCCTGCAAGGGGACCAAAGCATTTTAATTTACCAACTCAAACAACAAGTGCCTTAATAATCCTGGCACTGAAAGCATCAAAAGCAGCTGACTGGTCATAATTCTCAATGGTAATTATTGGAGGTCCAAATCATTGCAATTTTCTGCTCCGAAGTCAAAGAGCCGTCTGACACTAATTGTACACCCAGACCGCAGTACCTGAAAGCTAAAAATAATCAACCACAATGCCAACATCTAGCTCAGACAGCAGGTATTTGACAAGTTGACAGGATGTGTATGTATATTATTTGCATATTAACCATCTGAACCCTTTTAGGCTCTTTATTTCTGGGTTTATAAAAAGTATTTCCACATATGTCAGCCAGTTTTTTTGTTTGTTTGTGTAGTTGCTTATGTGGTTTAATGAAACAGCAGAGCTATTGCGGGGATCCTATCTGTAACTCACACACACACACAGTGTACTCTAATGAAACATCGTGTCCTGTGTATTAGTCAGTGCTCTGAAGCAAACAGCATGTATGCTTTTAGATTTACTGTCCACTGACATGGTGTGTGAGGTTTCAGGAATGCAGGAATGAGTGGAACCAGTCAGAACTTGACTATAAACAGAAAAGGGGCTTTTTCTTTTAAATCTGTATAAATACATGTATCATTCCAGATATTTAAAAATACATTACAAAAGATGGCATGAATGTGTGAGTTTGATGTAATCAGTATCTGGGTCATGTCCCTACCCAGTCCTCTGTAGCAGGAAAGCTGCTGGTAAATTTGCTTCATCCTCTCTATGTTGACGCGGCTGGCCTCAGCATGGTTCACCATGGGTTTGGGGTAGTGGACTCCAATGATACATTTGGCTGCCTTCTGCACTTCCTCTGGGGCATTCCAAGGATCATAGATGTATTTTGCTGGAAAGCCCCTCAATATGGGCAAATAACGCCTGGGAGTAGAGAAAGAAACGAATGAAGACAGATGTGGAAGATAGAAAATGGCTAAAATATGATATAAAGTAAAGCAGACTAATGTAGCTCATTACAAAAATATGTGACAGTCGTATCTGTGATGTTACAGATGTGCTGTATCAGATAAGCTACAGTATATAGTTATGGTGTGTGGCAAAATTTCCCACAACCCTCTGACTGACTTAAATTCGGTATATGAGACAAGGACCCTCAAGAAGACACAGTCAGTCCTGGCTGACCCAAGTCACCCCCTGAACAGCTGCTTCATTTTGTTGCCGTCTGGCCGCAGATTCAGTCTGCCTAAATGCAGGACAAACAGACACAAAAACTCTTTCGTCCCTGCTGCTATAGGCTTTTTTAATAAGTCACTGAGAGTTGTGGACTTCTGTGTAGTATGTATTCATTTTTTGTTTCTTACTGATGTATGGCTGTTGTTTTGTATAAAATGTATTATTTATGTCACATGCTGCTGCACAACGCATTGCCCCCCAGGGATAATAAAGACTCCTTGAACTTGAAGCTAGTATTCACCATTTATACTTTTTTATTGAGTGTGAAAGCTCACTCTTTTTTCCCCCCATTTATACTGACACTGTAAATTAGGTCACACAATTTTAATCGCTGTTTACCAGGTACTACACGTTTGTTTCACAATAAGGAGCCTCTCTGTGGTGTAGTGCATCACCAATAATGCAAAAATGAAATGAGTTTCTAAACAATTGTTTGATACTTTTCTAATCCTGATGCAACCATGACAAATCATGTGAGGCTGCAAAAGAGCACAAGCTTACCATGAGATTTTATTTGCTCATTTGAAATTACTGCAGGGGGCACAGATACCAACAACAATGTCTGCTTATGAAAGGTCTGCGTTTTTATAATCATGTGATGCAAATGAAAGTACTGACTGACCGTATGTAGTCACCGTTGGGGTCAGTGCGTCGTCCAAATCCCACGGGGCAGTAGCTGTGGAAAAACTGCTGGAAAAACGAGCTGCAAGAAAGCCACATCCAGCTGCCAGCATTTACACTCCAGTCCGCATCTATCAGCAACTCGTCAAATGCCTGTACAAGACACAGACAGTGGGCAGTTGAGACGATGCATGCTAGTAGTAACTTTAAACTGTGGTGATTTATGACAAGTGTGAACACCTTGTGTACTTGATCCCTTTTCTCTCTTCTTACCTTCATGCCTTCCTCCCAGCTGATCCAGAGGTTTCCCCTGGTGAGGAAGCAGGCCACAGCGTGCCTCGCCAAGTGATGGATCCACCCCTCCTGCCTCAGCTGGGTCATAATGGCGTCTATCCAGGGAAAGCCTGTCCGTCCCTCTGCCCACTTGGCCAGCGCCTCTGGGTTTTTGTCCCAGGGGATCTGGACACACACAGGGTTTCCCTCCATCTTGTCAAAGCAGGGGTTGTTGGTGGCAGTCGCGTAGAAGAACTCCCTCCACAACAGCTGGCCATACAAGGAAAGTGGTGGGGTGCCGTTCTTCTTGACCTGATAAGACAGAGCGCAAAAAAAAGGCAACAGAAATGTATCATCTGCAGGATAGACTGGTTTGACTCCTTAACCATCATATGAAAAGAAAATGGCCACAAGAAAGATGGTAGGTTGTAAATGTTGGGACCGCACGTGTTGCAAATTAGTTTGGTACCTTTTATGAGACTAAATTAATGGGTTATCACTTTTCTCTTCTTTAAGAGTGGTGCCCTAAAATGAATTTAACACAAGTTAAATTATATTATCACTAATAGTCACAATAATATTATTATTCTATTATATATTATAAATATTGATGCCATTTAACCTATAATAACCAGTATAGCCATTTAAACGCCTATGTGACAGTGTATTGACTACGATTATGTGACTCATATTAACATAAAACTTAGTGCAGGGTAAAAACAAAACATGATAAAACGTAAAATGGCGAATTCAGAACGGGCTCATTTCCAAATATAAATTGTTCATATTGTTTTGTGTCTTGTCTGTGGTCATTCGTACCTTCCTGTACAGGTCAGTAAGTTTGAAGTAGAAGAGCCGACAGGAGAGACAACCAAAGCGCAGGTAGGGGCTGAGGCCTGTGGGACTGGCCAGCAGGGAGTTGGCGTTCATACGTGGACGCTCAAAGTTTGCCACCCATGCCTGTAAAAAGATGGATAGTTAGCATTTAACTAAAACAATACCACTATGGTTGCTGAGAGCAAATATGCACCTGAATACATGACAGACACCAAATGAGCTATGACATGTTTGAGTATCAGGCCTCAAACTATGAGGCTCAAAAAAGAAAGATGCTGTTGATGGTGATACAGCACACACCCGGTGGAGTTCATCACTTGAAGCGAGACGTCTCAGTGTGTTTTGGCCTAAATGTTAGATTCAATTCTAGCCATCTTTAATGTGTTGAGGTTTATTGGTTCTGTTGTTCTAAAGAGAAACTATACCAGTCCTCTAAAATGTTTTCTGGTGCCACATCATTGTTCATTTTGTAGTGGCTATATGGAAAACAGTGGTACTCTGCTGCTGTGTGTATTTAAAAACACCTGGGTGTAGATTTTTGAACAAAAAATATTCACAGTAATAATGAAAGATATATATTTTTTATTATTATTATTTATTTATTTTTTAATGGAAAAAGGTGTAAAGCCCAGATGCTGGATAGTAATGATTCAGGCTTTTTTAATAACCTGCCATCAGCAGTATGCATGTGACCATCAGGAAGCAGAGAACAAGTTTAAAGAGGAATACTGCATGTTATTAAATGTTTTTAGTTTGACTAGAAATACAGAATATCCTAAATAAAGTCAAATTCCGTCAAACTCTTCTATCACGCATTTATCCAACTAATTTTGCCAATTCAATCTGTGTGCACATTTCACTGCAAAGGAACTGGAGGGAGAAAAAGACCAGGCTTTCAAATGAACTTGTGTGCAAGATGTGTGTCAGGTTAGTCTTTATCTTTATGTTATGGTATGAGGTAGGTGAGTGGTCAATCAACTAAAGCTACAGTAATTCATAACTACACTCGTTTCTTATTTTGTGTAATACTGTGCAGTAAAGTCATCTTTTTACCTTCCTCTCCAGATGCCGCTCAAGCCTCATGAGGGCTTCCGTTTCTCCACCTGGCCATACTGCTGTGGTCAGGCCCTCTGTCTCAAAACCTGAAGGCAAATGAAGATTAAAAAATGTTTCCAAGTCTGTGACTTTGACACTGAGAAATAAGCCGGATATAATGTGTGTGTATACACCAGGACCAGTGTATTCATGCACACAACATACAGCCACTTAGAAAGAAATAAAGAAAAAACAAACACACAAACAAACAAAAAAAAACATACCAAGCTCTTCCAGAGAGGGCACCCCAAACTTGTCATCATGGTCGTCACTGGTGGGTGTGGCACATTTCTTGACAACCTCAGGTGTGATCGTCTCGGCAGGGAGCTCCACAGCATCCATACGGTTGATGAGGGCCTGAAAGCGCTTGTACGTAAGAGGAGGCTGACCATCATTGAGCTCTATGATCCTGTTGGAAAGAAAAATGTAAAAAGGGAATCAACACACTTCACAAACACAATATGTGACAATACACATAGTTTCAAACAGGTTCATTACTATGCAACATTTATTTCAACTAATTCTTTATAGTCACTCACTTAGCCAGATCGTAGAGGGTGTGTGAAATCCGCACCATGACCTCTACTCCAGCCTCGCTGGCTAGTTTTTGGATGGCAGCATCACGTTCCTTACCAAACGGCTCAGAGTCATATTCATAAGATAGACGGGAGATCTGCCATTCCTGAGGAACAAAGTAATTAATTGTATAAAGGGATGACCACAATGTGCGTTTGGTCATTCTAATCTCCTGTTCAAATATCATCACAACAAACTGATTCTGAGCGATTAACCTCAAACTTGAGTTCAGGACAGAATGTGAGGGTGCTTGATATGCAGCCGGCGTCTGTGTTTTATATGACTGATATATTGATATCCGAGATTTTTCTATGTAATGGATTCCGAGGGCCATTGCACAAGTCCACTGAACTATCAAAATCTTACATTGTTTTCCTGTTTAATGAGCAACAACATTATGTTAAAATTATTAAGTTCTTACAGTGTTAGTTTGCTTCTGAACAAACCGAATTATAAGATGGCATCTTCTACTTTATTCCATCTCTTATACCTTAAAAAGACGAGGGAAGACATCTGTAGGCTGGCCTCTGATGACAAACAGGCGGGAGTTGAGTTTGCGCAGGCTGGCGTCCAAGTCCTCTAAACAATGCAACAAAAACCTGGAATCAAACAGGCAGAATGATCAATTAAGTCATTATACAGCTGAGACCGGGGTTTCCCAAAATGCAATCATGAGATCACTAAGCATCAGGCATAGCTGATTTGATGATCTGAAAGCATTCCTGGGGGTGAGTAACATTTCAATGGAAAAGCAATGACTGTGTGGACGCTCCTAGATTAGGCTGGTTAGAGATTCAGTTGTTGCTTTATTAAAAGTCAGCACCTCAGACTGCTGCTTAGCATGTGTGGAACTTAAAATTCATTCAACCTAAATACAGATAACTACAACAAGACTATAGGTTTATGGACACGTTACAGACCTTTAAAAGAAAAAGGAATCAGCCAGGGAAACTGCAATCGATGCATCTCTTGAATAAAACACTAACTAATTTAACTTCAGTTAAAAAAGCAGAGAGACGAGTATTTTGTGAATATCCACAACAGCACCAACATGAGAAAGACAAACGATCTGATGCAGTCAAAATTAAAAGTATAATCATCATTTCATTATCATGTGACAAAGAGATGAAAGGAGTGCATGAAATGGAAGATCCAAGTGTTTTAATGTGAACAGACAGCCCTCTTCTGGTGAAGTCTTTTTAGACACTCAGTTCACTATATGCTGCAAAATGTTACCAAGAACCGTAGCAGACTATACTTAAACACAACAGGGACATTTATTACAGGGAGAGGCAGAAAACAAGTGCTTTCATGTATAAGATATATGCTTCAGCATTTAAAATCAAACCTTTTCTCTGTAATACAACCAGCACAATGACAACAAACCTGAACTTGCTCAAAACAGACAGATTCAAACAGAGCGCCTCATACAATTTACACATATTTGGTTAGTATGTATGAAGTATGAATTGTCACACTCCATGCCACTGGATTACCTTTATTGCTCTTTTTATTTGCCCCATTACCGCTTTCTTTTCTTTTTTAGTAACAGATAAGTCATAGATGTATGTCTATGTAAGCTATAACAACACACTGACCCAGTTTCTCCGCTCTCCATTCAAGCCTGAGCACAGAGTTTACTACAGCCCGCTGAATTCAAAGACGATAAAGAACTGTACAATGGTACAATATGTGTAGACACCTATTTTAAAGCAGGATTTGTCAGCCTGATCAAGATATGACGTACCATTTGAACATTAGCAGAGGACATGCTCAGGGAAAATGTCAGACTATTTGTAAAATTGGTTCTCAGTGAATAGCATGTATTTAACATGTATCATTCAGGAGTAGCTCCCTGCCTGCATCCATTTCCTGAATCTACTGAGCGGCTAACTGATACAATCATGGAAAAGGTTGAAAGAGACATTCAGAGAGAGACAAATGAAGATGCTATGCTTATCACGCTCTGTGGATTTTCAATCAACACAGAGTAAATGCTGGAAAGACTATAAAGAAAACAGATGCTCCCAGTCAACAGTTTTACATCCTGTATTTTTAAGTTACCAAGTAAGTCAAAACAAAACAAAAAAGAATACAGATAATGGGGTTTTTTTGCGATTACATACAACTATTGGTCTGGGTCGTTATCACTAATGATTACACTACAATTGCAGATAACATGCAACATATGAATTTGCTGTTTTTTCTTCTGATACATGTTCCACACCACAGCTGAGCAGAAAACAAGCCTGTTGTGTCTGCTATACATGCAAAGAGCTTTGACACGGAACAGAAAGCTAACAAATATCTTGAAAGTTAAAGGCCATTTAAATCGACAGTGATTCTTATGACACACTGGACAGTCAAAGGTCTGCTGATATTGAACAGTGACCAAATTGACACATAGGCACTGACCCTTAACAAAAGTCTGAAGGCACATTAGAATATCCTATTTTAAAGCAGGATTTGTCAGCCTAATCGAAATCACGCAGACTACAAATGACTTAATTCTGGTTGCCTATGGACCGGTTTGTGAAAATACTGTATTTCATTCAGTAAACTATATGCCAGGTTAGTTAACATTTGGCAACCTGTATGAAATTATCACTTTGCACTTCTTTTCTTTATCATTTTGCAGTCTGTGAAAACTTGCTGAAATCCTTCTGCATCTAAAGCACAAAAGTGGAGCTTCTGTTAGTCAGCACGCTTTTGCATGTTTTTGTTTTGCAACTCAGCCCCCCTGAGTGACGATGGCAACTTTCACATAATTACATCCTGTGTATACACTTTGCCTCAAATACAGACTAGATCCAAAGTAATTTACTATCCACTATAGAGCAGCATTTAGTGTTAGCAATGGTGCTTTATGGGTGACAGTGAAAGGAGTTTAGAAGCAACCACAGAGTATGTTGTCTGATAAAGGTGCCTATTTAGATCAAGTGTTATTAGATGTAGGTCAGTTCCTTTAACATTAACAATCACAAACATCTTTCAAATCAGTTGTATGCTTTAATTTCTAATTTGACAGCAAGTTATCTGAAACAAATGTTCAAATAGACAGTTGAGGATTTAACCAAAAAATGCTAAAATATGGCACATTTGGAAGTGGTTAAGTTAGTGGAGAATCACTGGGTGGATAATTAGTCGTAGCAGAGCCTAATTAGGGTTCACTAGATTTGGGGTTGAGGTCCAGTGATGATACATAATCAGTTAAACCCTCCATTCACATCCTTACCTCCACCTGTTGATGCCCACATTGGAGGACCCTGCGAACCACGGGTCCAGGATGTAAATGCAGCGCAGGGTGTCGGCTCCCCGGATAGAGTCCCTTAGAGAAGGGTTGTCGTGGAGCCTCAGTCCCTTCCTGAACCAGTGAATGGTGTTGACCCCCATGACACCTGCCTTCTTTATGTATCCCTGATGGGGGTCGAAAGACGAGAGGGGGTTCCCAAAATCAACAAAAACAAAAAACGCCCTCTTGTGTTGATTTGATAGCAAAGTAATTAAGTGTCCAGTCCCATCCGACGTATAAGGACGTGGACTCGTACCGTAGCGTTAAAGATTTGTCTAATCTTAACCTTGCTCCATGAATATATCTACAGGGTTGAATCTACCGACCAGCGGTGGCTGCATGTGTGGACAGCAGGTAACCACAACAGACGCAAGAAACCCGGCCCAACTCACGTCTCGATAGGTAGCAACGATGAAGTGAGCACCTTTGAGGGGGATAAGTCCCGAAGAAGTCCGTTTTCAGCCAGCAGCAACGTTTAAATTGTTTTGTTATCGTGAGCTATCACACGAGGCGTGGCTGAAGCCCATGTATCTGTTAAAGTTAACGCAAACTACTCAGCTAAGGCTCACATAAAGTACAACCGCGCAAATATTTCCGGGTTGTATCCTCATGTAACGTTAGTCTGCACCAAGAAAACGCACTCTAGACCTCACCAACACGTTAAACTTTGCGTATAAACTGTAATGCCTAGTAAACTCGACCAGTCAAGACGTCCTCTCCGTATACACATCACCGCCCACAGGAGTACGCAGGAAGGATTAGATCGCTCTGATTGGCCAGAGTAAACCGTTATACAACCTCTCCACGGTCACGTTTACATAATGTGCTTTCTTACGCGTGCTTCAACGTTGCCTATGGTTGCTTAAAATTATTCAAACGGCGATATTCCGTCATACTCTCTTAACGTGTTGTATAAGGTTTCACTTTGGGAGAGCAGAAGTTAAAAAAAACAAAAAAACAACAACCCTTAAAAGAGTGTTATGAAAGCGTTATGTGTACACCCACAAGTACCCGGATGAGCACATGCCATGTGGCGAGGACTGCCTCCATTCAGGTGCGCTCGATTTAGCATAGGGACCGCACCGCTCACACTGCTAGTCCAACGCGTCCACAGCAGGGATAATCTGTCTGAGCCACGTGACGTGTAATTACATAAAAGGGTAAATATACTATCACAGCCTATAACCAAGTATGAAATTACAGTTAAAGAGGAAACCCATCCTAAAATATAAATTATATTGTGCTATTGTCCTATAGTATTCATAGGGCTGCCTGCATCAGCACCTTAAACTGATTATAGTAACAGTGACATTTATGTAAAGTTTGTCCATATATATTAGTATCTGACTTCATTGTCAGAGATTATTTACAGGAGTTTGAATACTGACCTTACAGCTGTGAATTGTCACCTTGCATACACCAGTAAAAATCAAGATAGGTATTGGCAGAGGTGGGAGTAAGTCACTCACTGTAAGAAATGATTATGTGGTCATGTAGATTTGAATTAATGTATTAGGTAAAATATATTCAATATGATTGTGTTTTTGCTTTTGAGGCAAATATTTAATTAAATTTCAAATAAAAATGTTTGGGCCCTCTGATGGACTGGCGACCCGTCCAGGGTGTACCCCGCCTTGCGCCCAATGTCAGCTGGGATAGGCCCCAGCCCCCCCGCGACCCTGTATGCAGGATAAGCGGTTGACGATGGATGGATGGATGGATGGATAAAAATGTTTGGGCCCTCTGATGGACTGGCGACCCGCCCAGGGTGTACCCCGGCTTTTCGCCCAATGTCAGCTGGGTTTTGCTCCAGTCCCCCCGCAACCCTGTACGTAGGATAAGCGGCTGACGATGGATGGATGGATAAAAATGTTTGGAATAAAATCCACCCATTGTAGTTAAATAAAACATAAGCATTATATTTGTCTAATCCCAAATAGAGAGAATATTGAGTGAATTCAAATAATGTAATCAGGAAAATTTTAATTGAAAAACACTTCCTGTCAAAGTGCGCCTTTTTTTAAATGCAGGCTACCATCCACAAGACATTTGAACCTTGCAAAAATTAACTGGTTGACTAAGGTAAGAAAACTTCTTTTTATATCATTGGGCTAGTAAGAAGAACGCATGTAGTGGTATATTACAATATAAAATGAGCTATCACAGAAAAAGAGACTCAGCAGCAACACAAAGTTGATTTCTGTTGGAAAGGCTATATATTAATGTAGTAGTGCGATTTTGTTGCACCATAATATGTATAATACATTTTGAAAGAATTCATATGAATCGAAGTCAAACGATTATTTGAAGGATGCGGGTTAGCATTTCCGCTATCATGGTTCCTACATCCTTTGCGTGTTGATAGATCCTTAATATATAATATGTGAATTTCCTCTGTGGAGATCAATAAAGTGAATTCTATTCTACATGTTTCAGCACAGTACAGCTCAAACATCCAACAAGAGGAACAAGAGAAACATTTTTAGTAAATGATCTGCATAGCACCTTTCTAGTCTTTTCAACCACTCAAAGTGGTTTTACACTATATCTGCATTCACTAGTCATTCATACACTGAGCCTAAGTGCTCAAACAGAAACTAACATTCACACACTGGCGGAACAGTATCTTACCCAATGACACTTTGACATGCAACCAGGGAGAGCCGGGGATTGAACCGCTGACCTTCCAAATTAACAGCCAACCTGCTCTACCTCCTGAGCCACAGCCGCAGAGGGCTCCAAGTAAAAGATGTTCAAATCTAAATGTATTTTTAAAATGAGTTTAAATAAACATTAACGACGTTTATCTCATGCGTATGTTGATGGGGGATCAAATGAAAATAATTTATATTATATTTAATTGATAATTTCCTTTCCAATTTATTAAATAAATTTGATTTGAACAAATGTAAATCAGTTTCATTTAGTTAATATAATTATTTCAGTTTGGTTGTATTTGATAAAAATTAGTTAGTCTAACACAATTACATTCTGTTGAATGTATTTCATACAAATTAATTTGAATACCTCATTTACATTCTGCTGAATGAATGTACTGAGTTTAAGGTGAGGCTACATATATTTATACAACTTAATTGAGTTCATCCAATGAGTTATTTTTTTGAGTGTATGTTTTTATGAAATTGCGTAAATAAGTACATTGGGTTTAATGTTTCCGTGTGGGTTCTCTCCGGGTGCTCCGGCTTCCTCCCACCACCCAAAGACATGCAGGTTAATTGGTATCTCCAAAAAAAAATTGTCCTTAGGTGTGAATGTGAGTGTGAGTCGTTGTTTGTATGTGTGGCCCTGCGATGGACTGGCGACCTGTCCAGGGTGTGCCCCGCCTTTTCGCCCAATGTCAGCTGGGATAGGCTCCAGTCCCCTGCAACCCTGTATGCAGGATAAGCGGTTGACGATGGATGGATGGATGGAGGTTATAATTAATTCTGTGCTGTTTTCTATTTGAATCTACTCATATTAAATGGATAACTATTAATTTACTCAGTACCAAACATTGTGATATTTAATTAATAATATTGCTTGTAATCTGTTGCCTCATTTTTATTGAGTAGATATGGTGTATCTTTTCTTACAGTGCATGTCCAAGTCACAAGCAAGTCTTAACCTTCAAGTCTCAAGCAAGTCCCAAGTCCCTGTGATGAAAGTCAAGCAAGTCACTAATCAAGTCATATAAAATTCTTAGGAATTCAGTTTGTTTAAGAGAGGTGGCAATTCAACTGTATGATCATTTTGGAAGATGCAGTGAGTGTTTCTGTTCTAACTAAATTGAACTACACACAAAGGTGTTTCTATTATTTAGTCATATATTGGCTTCAATGATTATTGTAATGGGGTAGCAAAAATAGAGAAACATGTGTCAGTAAACTATTACCATTCCTGTAAAACTTGTTTTAAATGCCTATTGAAGTGTCTAACTTGAAATGATTATTATAAGTTTAAACACACTAAAGAAGTAATATATTTATCGTTTCCATGCAGACAGCTACACTGTGGGTCCACAGCATAAAGCCTTACCTAGTCCAATTTTAGATTTTATACCAATACCATTAAAAATTAATGTTTTACACAGGTTCCAGCATATTTCTTTTTTCAAAAACAACACTGCCCCACGCTGTAGATTGACGCCGATGTGTTTTTTTGCTGGTAGATCATGAACTTCTTACCTAAAGCTGGATATAGTTATTTTCAGAATTTTATTGGCTATATGAAGTGCCAGTCATCGGCACAATTGACCCTTCGCTAAGCCACGCCCCGAATACACAGCTGGCCAATCACAGCGCAGTATAGGACTCGCTCTAACTGAGGTCCGACACTTTCATGGCTGCGCTCCATTGACTGTAATGCAAAAAGATTCGTTTTCTAGCTTTTTTTGGCTGTATTTTTCTAAGATATGGTCAAACGCTGTTCCCGGGGCACTTGTAATAGTTACAGCAGCTACCCAGAGAGGTTGAAAGGAGAAGTACGATTTATCTCTTTCCAAAACCTAAAATAAATCCAGGCTGTGGATCGTTCATAATGTAATGTTAGTTAGCATATGCTAGCTAACTTCCTACTAAATTTAACGTAATAAAGCCCTACTGTTCTTCTTTTTAATGATTGTAAAAAAGAATAGAGACCTACCCAGCTTTATAGGAACAGTATTAATCCTTAATATCGTTGTTATATCTTATCTCTTATCTATATCTTATATCTTTTGTCTCAATCGTCGGGGGAGGCGGTGATTCACTTGCACTGTGTGATCAGTAGGTTTTAGCTTGGATCTCAAATTTATTTCACGTCCCTTTGACAGCCTGAATAACTTCAAATGTATAATGCAACTGCAAAACTGTCTGTTTCTTTCTGAGTTCGCTTTTTCAAGTACATTTGACAATATTTCTCCGGGGAGTGCATTAATACACAGCGGCTACGCAGGCAGTTTGTCGGACTTAGCAACAGTAACTAAGGGGGGCGGGGCTTAGCCACAAAATAATAGGGGCTGGCCCTTCCGTACAGCGTGGGCTCTCGTTGGTTGCTGTAGGCTATAAAAGGGACATGTGAACTCCTATTGGGTCAAATTAGCTGTCAGTCGAAAGGTCAGAGTTCAGCGGCCAATTTAAATACAAAATATCAAATTTGTTTACATCGGAGTTGTTACGGCATAATAACATATTAGCCACGTTTGCCGGCAAATATGAAATGATGCAGCAGCAGTCCCAGGGGATTTATTGATGGAATAATGTGTTTTGGACTAAATATTTTTACTGGATTGGATCGTCTGGACCTTTGACAATGTAACAAGACCGTTTTTGTTGGACTTTAATCGATCGGTGGATTAAATTACTAGTATGAGGCTTCAAATGTGAGTCGTGTCAATTTTGATTGTACTGGTTGGTCTGACAGAGGTGCTGATTGTACCCTCTGTGGTGATTGTATATTGAAGTTAAGTTAGCTAAAAAGCCGCAGTCACAAATGTAACATACCTTTCAAATTCAAATTCACATTTAAATGAGATTTAATGGTGTCACATTCTGCCTGTCGGACAGTTTTGCCCTCTGTGAGTTTTTGTTATATTTGATCAGTTCAGTATCTGTTATTGTCAAGCTGAGCTGCAGACCACGCCCTTTTTTCCCTGGTTGTGGTGCCTAGCTGCAGTCAGCTAGTTAGTCACCAGGTGGGAAGGATCTGGTAATTAGGAGATTTGGAGTCATTCACAGGATAGAAAGCAGGCTGGGAAGATGTGTTGAG